CTACAGGAGGTGATAACCGTCCTAGGAATCTGCCCAATTCATTCCACTCCCCCTGCCACCCAGGCACAGGCCGCCTCAGAGCACATTTTGGCACCGATTCACTCAAAATTTGTGTTCTCTTGCACCAAAAGCATACTGAGTTCCACACCACCCACAATAGGCGAACAGCATTAATAAAGAGTATCAAAAAACTAACGTAAGGATGACTGAGTACCTCGGGAGCCTGCAAAATAAAGCCACTCATGATGTTCCCGATTCCTTGCAGCATGTTCCCGAGCTTAACAAAATAAAGATAAGCAGCGCAATAAACAAGCCCGTGACCAGCACAAGAGCTTGCTGCTTAATAACTACTATAGCTACAGCACATTTAATGTAAAACTGCCGTTGTTTGCCCCACGTTGGGCGCCAGAATAGACTGTGATGGTTTGACTGGCTAAATGCCAGGTATCCACCAAGTCGCTCTATCACTTCCCCCCCCTTTTTCCCCTTGTTTTCTCAATAGGGTAAAGAGGGGAAAGAAGATAAACTAACCCTTGTGGGTGAAACAAAAGCAGTTTTAATATAAGCAAGGCAAAGCAAAAGTCCGCGCGCGGAAGCAAAAGCAAACAGATTTAGTCTCTACTTCCCATGGACAGGCGATGTCGGGCCTTCTCAGGAAGCAGGGCTCCAATACACGTAGTGGTTGCTTCGGAGGACCAAGGGTGACCCCACCCCCTTCCTCCTTCCTCCCAGCTTTATACTGAGCAAACGTCATATGGTATGGAATATCCCTTTGGTCGGTTTGGGTCAGCTGTCCTGGCTGTGTCCCCTCCCAAGATCTTGCCCACCCCGTTCCACTGGGGGAAATATCAGAAAGAGCCTTGGTGCTGTGTAAGCACTGCTCAGCAGTAGCCACAACACCAGGGTGCTATCAACACCCTGCCAGCTCCCGACATAAAACACAGCACCGTGAGGGCTGCTGTAGGGGAAAACCAATTCCAGTTCAGCCAGACCCAGTACAGAATGTTTATAGGGAAATGGTTACAGTACGTGTCAGAAATCCTGAATGGAGTAGCGCACCCAAGCTCACTATATTTTCTTAAGTGCTTGCTTACAAATGCAAATGACATTTCTATTCTACTCAAGTTCTTATACCATACTCATCAGTACAGTAACTGAGCATCTTCCAGTACCACAGTAATTGGTCAGGTCATTTCTTCCCTCAGGCAGGGAAGTGCGTATGTATCAATGCATTGTTCTAATGCCAGTTTTCTATTCTTACAAATCTCAGTTTTAGTATTAAGAAATTTTCATTGACACTTTCAGCGCAGTGTGTATCCTCTGCAAATTTATTACATTTCTGGCCAGAAAGCCCAATGCAAATTCTAAAGGCCTGTAAATATATTTGGTTATAGCTATATGAAATTACTACAGACGAGCTACACTACAGCTTACCCCTCCCCTCCAAAAATCACAATAGCTGCAAATGAATTTCACAATACTGCATAACAATATGTTCTAGAAAAAAAGCATTTAATGTGAATATGACATGCAAATATTAAGACAGGACACCAGACTTCTTTTCCTTCCCTTTCCCACTGGGTGTTTTATTTTATAGCATTTGCATTAGGTAATCAACTGAAACACTTCAACAACAGAAAGCTGGCAGCATAGTACGGAAAATGGAGATTATTTCTCAAACAGCTGTGACAAAATGGTTTCAAGTTGGAATAGTATTGCACAAACGAATCAGTTTACGGAGAGTGAGTGGGAGCTAGCATCTTCAACATGGATTGTGAGGAAAAAAGGCACTATTTAGCTGTGTGTGTTTAAAAAGAAAAAAGTCATGAAGCACAATCCATGTTTCTCAAAATTACATTCAGTACTGCTTTAGAAATGCTCACAAACCTGTCTCTTTTTACAGAAGCTACAGAAAGTTGCTGATGTAAATATCAGACAGTACGAGTGTATGAACATTTATAATTATGCTCCAGAAAAGTCTCAGGAAGAGGGCTCTTTCTATAAATACTACTGCAAAGGTTACATAGTTGCATAGGCTTACAGTAAAGGAAGCATCCATGCAACTAAGCAGCCTTATAGTTTCCCTAAATTTAATCTCTAGTAGTCATAAAATATGCTCTAATTTTGAAGAGCTGAATTGGCAGTGCACTTGAATCAGTCTTTTCCAGTGACTGCTTGAACAGCACAGTTCAGACAGTCATCTGTACCCCTTTCTGTCATATACATGTTTAGCAATGCCAGGTGAGCTTAATGAAAAATTTTAACAGAATTATAACGAAAATAACTGAATTTTCCCTGATATAAAATAGAACTTCTTTGAGACCATAAATAAGAAAATGTTTATTCCTGGAAAGTAAAAATAGCTACGTATCTTCACAAAACCTAGGTACCTAGAAAAGGCATTTCAGAAGACCAGGATGGGCTCTCTCCCATATTTTATAGCTATAAATTTTCATGCCTGTTTGAAAATGAAGCCATGATCAGCGTACCATTAACAGAGAGACTGCTTGGAAATCAACCCAGAGCAAGTGGGAATGTGCACACAGGACATTAAGCACCCTAGCTTTTTGTCTGGTTACAGATGCACTCACCAAATAAAGAGTGAAATTTTTGTTGCATGGCTGCAGAATTAATGTGGGAAGGAGCTAAAACCACTGTTGCTCTCCTGTCAACACTGCCCAGTGCATCACAAGTGCTCCAGGCATGCTGTGGCTATGGCTATGTAGTTACCAGCACAGCGGTAGCCATTATGCTGGCTTCGAGAGTTTCAATAGGGCTACACAGTTTTGCACAAAGTCTGGGTGTTAATTTTGTACAAAGAGTACAGAACAGTGTAACAAAACCTACTCTCAACTATATATGTGTGTATATATATACATATATACATATATATATATATATATACACACACACATATATATATATATGCATTTCAGCACCTTTCAAGTGAACTTAGCACTGCAAAATGTCAATCTCACTCCTGTGCAGAGACTACAGTAACTTCAGTTAAAAGATCTGTGTTCAGGAGGCTGCATAGTAAGTTTACGGATCATACAATCTGCAACAACAAAAATCCATGTATTGCTGCTTTTTACTGTAAGTCATTAAGGGAAAATACACAAGATAAATTCTGTTTATATACTGTAAAATATTTTTAATACCAACAGCTTGGATTGTTTCCATTTTCAAATAGAGTATGCATAGAGCAGGTTATTAAAAATCTGTAAAGCTCCTTTTCCTAAACTGTCTTTTAGGAAATCCAAGTTTGATAGTTCTGCATTCAAAGGATTCTAAAAAGTTCACAGTTGACTTAACAGTTGCACTAGATATAAAAGTAGACAGTCTTGATTCCTTCTGTGTTCCACAGACAACATTTTCAGAGTATATATGGAATTAATACCTCTCTAACTGTAGCTAGCATTTTTAAAAAATATTCCTAAAATTCTGCTTGGTCTCAGCCCTGTCAGTTTACAGCACATAACAGGAAGTGATATCTGATTAAATAAAATCTGTTTTCTTATATGAGCTATGAAAAATATATTGCTTTTTTAAAAGTGAAACAAAAATTGCATTGTTCTATGATTTTTGTTACTGAAGACTCATAATTAAGAAATTCTAAATCCTGGAAGGAAAAAAAAGAAACAAAACTTTTAAAATTGCTTACAGAAACACAACTTTTAAAATTGCTTACAGAATAGAGGAGGTTTCTGTAGACCCTACTGAAATCAATAGAAGTTTTGCCTATTGTTTTCTTGTCAAGACAGAAGCATTTGTCTACATACCTATTTCATTACTTAGATGAATATTTTATGTTTTCACTCAGTAGATTCTTCTGCTCTCTTAGAGGTGCTCTTCTGAAGGAGACTCAAGAAAGTAAACTGATCCAAATTATTCTGAAGGAGAACAACATAGTCAAAATAAAATCTAACATAAAACTATCACTGAGAGGATAATCTTTCCTGGATTATAAATATCCATTTTATTTCAGGAAAGCTACTGCTTTGTTATGGAATTTTTTTATATCTCCATTAGCTACTTCTTGTGTATGACTTCTCATTTCCTTTCTTTAGCTAGGAAACATGTCTTCGTGGGTGAACTAACACATCCCGTGTTGGCATTATTAATGATGTCAGTGGACAAGAACTAGAACAGGAAAACTTATGCATGGTTCATGTTATATAAATGGTAAGCTATCAGAAGGAACTTCCCTGATTATTTGGGAAGAGCAAAGAGAGACCTATTTTTAAAATTCACAGGGAAAAATCCAAGAAAACAAAGAAAATGAAAGATGTACTTGATAGTCTCTCATTATCCTCTTTGTAACTGGGCTGTTGCTTTTGGCTGCAGATATCCAGTTCACAGACCATTTTCCATTTCCTTTGTTTTCATTATAAGAAGCAGCTGGTTAAAGAAACTCCACTTGGTAATCTTAAACTAAACCTTCAGCATTATCCCTTAGGAATTTAAACCTTTACCACCATTCCTTACTCTATCTCCTCAGTGCGTTCCCCCATCAAACCCTGTGAAAAGCACTTTAAGAAAAGGCAGGTGTAAGATGTGTAAATACTCAGATCTTTAGAAAATTCAATAGGAAACAAATTCTTGTAGTTCGCCACTGCCATTTGCTATAATGCAGTGGCCCCAAACATCTGTTCTCAAATTTCAATTTACTTCATCTACCAGGTGTTTCACATTGTTAATAATAGCAACTCACAAATTTACAATACTCACATAAGGCAGTTACATAAATACAATTATGTCAATCAAATTCACTGCATCTTTCTCAACCAGACTACACATGACGTTTTTCTTCTTGTCCTCTTACCATAATAAAAGGATGAAGACTACATTTCTGTAAAGAGAATCCCTGGACAACATTCTGTTATTGAAGTCAGAGAGGTCACTGAAGTGCATTTCAGCAATGTCCAACAGTTAACTCAACCAGGAAGTAGATGTGATGTTTTTCACTTCACACATAACAGAATTGGTGCAAAAACCCCACTTTAAACTAGTTACTTTAAACCTTTTGGTCCAAATACATAAAATAAGCAGTATTTACAGCATTTTACTCCTTTTGTAAATGCAATGCTTTAAAACACGTTATAAAGCACCTTAGTAAAAATATTCTACAGATAAAAGTATCGAAGTAGTAGGAAAACCCTAACCATACCACAGCTCACTAATGGAGTCATAATATGGATTCACCAATACCTCAGCTTACAATTATTACAAAGAATCCATGGAGAAACTTAATACTGAATTTACGATTTTTGTACCACTGTGTAAGAATCAACTAGAATTGCGGACAATACCAACTTCCTCTGCAGTATTCCCAACATTAGTCAGTGGTGGGGGGGATAAAAAAACAAACAAAAAAACCCCACTGCTCTGATTCTTTAACTTTTTACAATATTAACGTGGAAATGATGTTTTAACACTAATGATCAGTTGTAATTTTTTAATAAAACCACATATATAAATATGGGCAATTCCAGCAGCAGCAGTATTTCTCAGCAGAACATGATTAACCATCCCAATTAAGATCATGTGACATGATTCACAAAAACAAAGCACAGATGTCAACCAGTTATTAACACTACTCATATTGTTTACAACCAAAATTTCCATGTTGAAAGCTGGGAAAAATGATTTCCTCTTCACAGAAGTATAAATGAAAATAAATTGCTCTGAAAATTAAAAAGAGCATCAACAGAAGCATTTTTTGTTTGTTTATATTTTCAACTAGAACTGCTGTGTATTAATTGCTCCGAATTAAAGTGTAGATTTCTTCGGGTAAAGGATATTAACTCCCACTGAAAGTATTACTTAGATAAAAGAAATGAAGCCTTTGCTTCTAGGTTACCAACATAGTTAGCCAGTATCCAATGCCCTGGAGGTGATCCACAGCCCACTTTTTTTCAGATCTATAAAGAAATGTCTTCAAGGTCTACAAGCAATCTAGTTTCCACGGCTGAGGACTAAAATGAGAATGTGACCAAAGATTTAGGTCCATAAATCTAACAGTATAGTGTTCTTAGTTTGATTTAGGGTAAATCTTTTCATAGAAAAAGTTCTGAGCCAGAATATACAATTCTCCATCTTTTTCCCGAACTGCATGTGCTCTGACAAATTGAAATTGCTCCAGTGCAAATTCATAGAACTCATTCTCCATTTTCCAGATTTCAGACTGTTGAAGCTTGGCAATAGTTTCTTTCGTGGGAAGTTTTTTCTCAGTCGTTTTTCTAAGATGAGACTTCTTTCCTAAATGCAGAACGAAAGCAGTAACTTCACTTTAAAGTTCACGTGATTAAAAAATGTTTACAGTCTTTTATTTACAGAGTTTTATACTCTCAGCATGTTGATAAACTGCATTATCCAGAATTTATTAACATAACGTGGGGCTGGAAAACTGCAGTCTCTCTCACTAAATGTTAATGAATTTTGCATCAGTTCTTTCAATTCTTCCTCCTTACTCTAATAAACCCAGGGAATGAACATATAAGGAACAAGATTACTCCACATAATGTACTTGGAGCAAGATTGGTCTTTCAAAATTATTTATTTAGATGTTAATCTGGTATCAAATGTTAAGAACTTTAAAAACTACAGAACAAGATACTTCTTTCATGAGACAAAAATTTTCCCTAAGAAGTGCTCCCTGTTGCTCTGTAATAAACTTGTTAATACTACACATCTAGGCTCTATACATCAGACCATTATCTCCCCCTATTTGCAGATAGAAGCCCTGCTAAGATGGACCTTTTCTTCATCATCAGTTGCATTGCCAGCTCCTAGAAACTGAGCTACTAGCTATATAACAAATGTCTTATTACAACCCCAGGAAGATGAAGATGTACTTGGGCCTCTGTATCCTTTGGGCCTTTTTGCACAGACAACCAGGTTGTACCAAGCACAGTTAATTTCAGCAGGGCTTCTGAAAAAATGGAAATCTGTCACCTCCAGTCATTTTACAAAACTGAAGCCCCTGCAAGACCTTTGAAAAGTGTTCTGATAAACACTTGTCACAATTTTTTAAGCCTGGTATACCTACACAACTACCCTTACCCCAACCTTAAACATTTACAATTTGTGTAAAGCAGGAAGATACCTGGACTGCCTTCAAAAATTCATGTTTAGAGTCTTTTCGAGAGTTTATCTCTTCTGTAGGAACATCAGCCAACTGAGAGGCAACAGAGAATCAAAACAATTCATCTAGGTCTAAATAACTGACATTAAAAAAGGTGATACAAGGATGAAAAATCCATAGAATCCATGGAAAGCGACTGTTTAAATACCTGTCCGGTACAATTCTGTGGCACCCCTGAAGAACCGGGGCAAAGCTGCCTCCAATAACATGATAAAGTCTTCAAGCTCTTCAGTAACTCCCACTAGGAAGTATTCATTAATCAGATTGTATTTGGCTTGTTCCAAAGCCCATCTGCTTCCCACATTCCTAAAATGACAGAGAACAATTACAGCAAGTTCTGATGTCAGCCAACAATCCTTGATCCCTAGATGGAAATTACTTTATAAGAGGACATTTATATAGGAAAGGCAAGACTCATTTCAAGTTATAATCATTCCTAACTTCATTTCCCTTTCCAGTTTTTCACACCAGTGTTCTTATCTAAAAGTTTAACTCCTCTAGTTATTTTGACTAATAACTCATCTACAATATGTGTATACCCACTATGTGTATACCCACCATGTGTACATATGGTTACTGTCTCTATTAATGCAATTTTTGGAGAATTTACATTTTCTCCATGTCAGCACTCAGTCTCCATTTTCACAATAGGTACAAGAAATGGTTATGGTAAGAAAACACCTTCCCCTTTACATACTACAAGCATAATTCTGAACTAGAAAGTCATTGTACTTAATGGAAGGACTTCCCTACTTAACAACAGTCAAAAATAAAATGGACATTTTTAACTCCTTTTTGTAACTCTCTAGAGTTACAAAACTGTCTATAGGGTGAAGAGATACGTTCAGAGTTCTTTCTTTCTGGGCTTCTCCACCTGGCCCAGGTTTACATAGGTCTGAACAACAGGCACTGAAAGAGGAGCTCCAAATGGGACATTTAATTTGCTTATGTTTGGATGAACAGTACCTTTGACAAATAATTGCCCTTCATTTCATTCAGAATCCTTCAAATAATCTATGTCCTTTTAATTATTTTTTTCTTTTTGTTTTCTAAAGAGTTTTTTTTAAGTTTGTGCCATTGTTATAAAACATGCTGCATTGACAGATAGACACTATTTGCTTTTGTTTTGGTTTCTACTAAGTAGCGTTGACTACTGGATGTCTGCTAAAGGTTTAAGAAAATAAATTTATCCTGATATCAATTATTTTATTATACTCAGAAGCTCTAAGAGCTTGAACAAAATTTCTCTATTCAGAAAGATGGATATTGCAGTCTGACATAAGAAAAAAATGTCAAGACTCCAAATCTACAAAAATTATTTTTTAAATCGAAAGACTCCAAATCTACAAAAATTATTTTTTAAATCGAAAATATCTGTTTTCCCTCATAGCACTGCTGATACAGTATCCAAACATATTGCTTGTTTAAAGAACTGGAAGACTGTTTCAACTAAAGTGCATCTTCAGAAGCAAATACATTACTGGAGTACCTGCTGCTGTCCAGTCCCTCACACTTTCCCCAACTGTGCTACATATTCAAATTTGTTAAGTTTAGATTTCAGTGCTGATATACTTGACTAACAACTTAAGCTACATTTATCTCCCTACCAGCATTCAGAGCTGTGGCCACAGAAGAATGGAATTTGAAGCCAAAGTTTCTCTGGAGCACAGTCTGAACCTCCAGCTGCCACACATTCATCAAAGGTCTGGAACAAAGACAAAATTGATTGAGCTGAGCTTTAAAATCTAGTATATGTATCAAACATCTCAACCTGGTTAGTTGCTAAATGTAGTGGGACAAAAACACAAGAAATTCTGTGAAAGGAAAAAAAAAGTAACTTTTTCAAGCCTTGATTTCACACTATTATTAGGAGTAGCTATTCATCTCACTTAAAACAGTACTTGGACAGTCTCTTATGATTAGAGCTAATGAACAATTTGATCTTACCTGATACATTTAATATACCTTTGATATAACCTTGATAAAGGCTATATGTCAAAACTAGCAAAAACAGTCAGTAAATGTTGACATCATTATTTTTCCCTTACAAAAGAAGTCACTAAAGATACAGCATCAAATGACATCAGGATCTGTGTGATACTGGAACAGCTGGATCTTTATACTATAGAACACCATGCATTTTGTGGTTTAGATTAAACAATGCTTTTTAAATATTATGCATTTTAAATATTATGACAACTGCCATTGCAGACACTAATTTGGTTTTGGCCATCAGAAGACGTGAAAGCAAACTGTTCACTGCATAACAGAATATTCCACACAACATTTCTCTGCAGGCATAGATAACTGTAGCAACACAGAGTTTCAACTGCAGTACCAAAGTTACAATAAGAACTCTATTAGCATTGAAAAGAATTTGTAAATATTTTACCCAGTCACCATAAAAGTAGTATTTATGACCTTTCTAATCAAGATATAAGCTATTACAGGATATTATAGGACAGATTTAAAAAAGAAAAAAACCAAAACAAAACAAAGACGATTAAGTGATCACACAGACAACTTCTTGGACTATTTCATCTGTATAATTACAAGCTTCTGTTCAAAAAAACTATGTAAAAATACATTTGCTTAATTATTTGGTGTTAGAACAAGGACATTGTCCTTTGCTTCTCTTTTGAGGTAAAGTTCCTGAGAAACTTACTGATATGAGGCAAAAGCAGGGATTAACCTGTGGTGTCTTGGTCCACATTGCACTCTGAGCTTAGAATGGCTCATACATGTCACAGATTAAAGTGCAGTTTAACTAGGAAAACAAGACATTTGTATGCTTTCTCTAGCACAGTTCTCTAGAGAAATTCTACACTGATCTATCATGAGTACTTTATAACATCAACATTATCTAAGAAATAAATTGTTTAAATGCGCCTCCTAACTTATGAATGTATATACTAAATATGAACTGGCATCTCTGAAAAGAAAGACTTCTTTGCTTATAAGTGAAGGTTATTTTATAGTTAATATGCAAAAGCAAGTAATTTTCTAAGCAAGATGAAATAGGACACATCTCCTTCCCTGCTTCCTCTTATATATACTTACCTTGACTACTCCATCCAGAGATTTTATAATAATATGCTCTTGTCTTTACAGACTCTTCTTAGAGCCAAGCTATCTATAACTTTGGAAATACAGGGCTACAGAAAGAAAATGAATGAATAATTCTTCCATATAAATGCTGTGGTATGGACTGGGAGGGGGTGAAGGTGTAAAGTATGTTGAGATTCCTTTCCACTTAATAAAGGAACAATCAACTTCCATTAGAAAGATTGCATTTTTGACTTTCCTTACTTTTCATTTGAAGAGCTCTTAGTGAATCTACTGTAATATAGATTAGAAGAGATATCAGTGTTATAGACACTGTGATTGGGTCAATGAATTTTTGAGCTTACTGAATTTTAGAACTAATGTATGTAAAACTGACATCATCTATATGTGTACTTTTTTTTTTGAAACACCATGGAAAAAACAGAATTACCTGATTTAAATGAAAGAAACCTTAAAACTTGGCATAGCAAATCAATTTTACTTCAAATGAACTAGAGATGCTTACAGGACAAGTTAAATCTGTATGGCAACAACTAAGTCTCGTACCTAAATAAAGTGGTATGATAGTGACAAAATGAAAAAAAAAATCTTTAATTAAAAAAACCCCATAAAATTATTAATGCAATGCATTACAAACATAAAGAGGAATGCATTTCAACTTCTTCCAGCAAATCGGGTCTTATAGTGCAGTCTACCAAGCAGTAACATTAGGGATTTTGGCTCTGAGTTTCCCAGTGACTATGTAATAAGGCTGTTTGGATTGTAATTCAAAACTAAACCAACACGGTTAAATTTCACTCTTTTTAATAACTATTAAGTCTTATAAATAACTTGGGCTTGGTAGCATGGTCAGCTTCCAACTCATTGATCTTCACAAGGAAGGAATTCCACTGGCCAAATCATGTTCCTCATGAAAAGGAACAAAGTAGGGTACAAAAGATGAGATCCTATCTCTCTTTTTTTAAGAAGCCTTTATGATACTGTATCACCAAACCATTTCTGTAGTCAGTTCTATGAAGATACATTTTTTTAAGTTTAATTACAATTTGTTCTGCTTGAAGCTTTTCTCTACCTATGCTGTAGGACGTCTGGACAAACTGACATGCAGTAGCTGAAGATGGCGCCAAAACCTAAACAACAGAGGAGCAGTTAGTTATCAACTGAAAAGAGGACTGGTCTGTTCCCAAGATTTAAAAAACACTGTTTGAATGGGGGTGAAATCACATAGAATTATTAGTCACATTTATTAGTTGTTATGGTGTTTATAGGCTAAGCTTTATTCAGTGTGATTTCTGCTTAGTTATTTTTTCAATGTCTCGGTATTTGCACAGTGCTACACAAAATTGTCAACATTACAGAAAAATTTCATCAGTTTAAGAAAATATTGCCACTGAAAATTTTAAAAAGTGTTTGGCTCTGCAAAGTACAAAACCCCATTACATTTTATAACTATAGTTTTATGAACTATATTCATACAGTTAATACCCTACTTTTCCTCCTGATTTAAGAAAAGACTAAAGCAACATGCTCCAACAAAGGTCTTACTGCAAACCATGGATGTACGAATTCTGTCTGGAATAAATATAATATGGAGCCCAAATAATGTTGTCATTCTGAAACTGTATTAGTAATCAAGGTTGGATATGCTAACCTGAACTGCTCCTATTTCCACCCAAGACAGACAGAGGAAGTATAATGTACAATTCATACCCCATAGTTTTCAAGCAGATTCTTTATACAATTCCATTGCAATATCTACATTAAAAAAAAAAAAAAGGGGGGGGGTTGCTAATTATAAAAAAAAAAAAAAAAAGTCAGTGCCACAGCATCGGCAGTTCTACAGCTTTTGGTAAAAAAAAAATGTATCTCAGTCTTCAACAAGAATCATAGAATCACAGAATGGTTTGGGTTGAAAAGGACCTTAAAGATCACCTATTTCCAACCCCCCTGCCATGGGCAGGGACACCTTCCACCAGCCCAGGTTGCTCAAAGCCCCGTCCAACCTGGCCTTGAACACTGCCAGGGAGGGGGCAGCCACAGCTTCTCTGGGCAACCTGTGCCAGTGTCTCACCACCCTCACAGTAAAGAAGTTACTTAGGAGAAGCTTAACTTGTTACTTATAACTCTGGTTACCTGAAAATATTTTTTATTAAATTGCAACATAAAGTGAATTTATAAGGTTACAAAGAATATACTTAATGTTACACTCTGGTCCAGTATAGACATGAAAGGGAGAATATAACTTAAAAAGCCACCATCATCACCAAGGCTGATACAAGAACTAGTCAGCTTTTATCAGGACATTTTAAAAAACTGTTTTCACATTAACTTTAGTAAGAACAACATATATAATAAAGCATACTCTACCTTTTTATCCCCCTGTTTTCGCCTCCGTAGCCCTGGTCTGTAATCATCTCCAAAGCGCAGAAAGTAATAGTAAGAAACTAGTCGTTCTATAGGATCTCTTATGACATTTATGTAAATTGGTTTCTTTTTAACACCAAATCTAAAGTGAAAGAGGAAAAAATGTCTTTTAAAGGCCAAATCAAAGATTCTCATCTAATATGGAAAAGCCTGTCTCTATTGATACAATGGAAATCTACGTACAGAGAAGATGACAGTGAAAGGAAGTTTAATGATCATTTCCTTTCATCCTCATATCCAGTGTGTTACGTGGAGGTGAAAGTCAGTTGAATTTCAGTTTTCCTAGCATTGTGATTTTCATTTTTTTTTTATTAGAGAAACAGACAAAACAGAAGTATTCTCACACAGTAGATACTAAAAATGTTTATACAATCATCCTGACTCTAGGAAATGCCTTAACTAGTCTAGCAGCCACATATACATTTATAACAAGTTTAATGAAGCTTGATACCGAGTTCCTGTCCTCCTGAACTGTGCTATGCAATGCTGCAAGGGGTTTTCCTTGTAGGTCTTCAGTTGTCAGACACACAAACTCTAACAGAAGGAAGACAGAGCTCACAGCCCATCCATTACCTGGGTTGAATCCATATGGCTATGCTTATTAAATATAACCTAAGACAGTACCTGTAACTGTATTAACTTATCTATCTAAAGATATAACATGTTTCCTTAGACATTTACCCTAAGCAAATGTGGATTTACTGTGGTACAAACAGGAAATTTGAAATGAGGTGGTAAGCACATAGGACGCAGGAAAGATTTAAATCACTAAAACTATTTAGTGCAAATGCTACTCTTCAGTGATCTACATTCAAGACAGCTTTTATGGTACGTTTCTAAGTTTTATCTTCTTTTCCATTTCAGACATACTGTAGCAAATAAACATGGTATCCAAACATTAAAGAGGTTATATCACAATGGAAATTGCAAGTGTGTTAAGTGCCCTGAAGTAAAGCTGGGAGCTCCTCTGTTCCCATGCAAACTGGGAAAGTGTCTGCATTGACAGAGGGCCATTCAAGCCTCCTAGCTTGGCTAAAACATAGAGTGCTTGTATTCTAAGATGCAGTACCATTACTGTTAAATGGTACTCTGTAAATTATAATACCAGATAAGTTGAAAAGCTGAAGAACAGAAACATACAATAAGCAACCGAAAATAGGAAGTTAGAAAAAAACCCCAAACAATTAAAAGGCATTACTTTGGCAAAAGACCATCACTACAGATACAGAAATTCTTAAAGGCTTCAGAAAGAGCAACTGATTCTTCAGATGTTGCCAGGAGAGTACCAATGAATCAGACTAGCAGTTAAAGGCAGCATTGCTGACATCTGTCTATGCCAGCTCATACTCCCCTAAGTCTGCAAAACAGGAGTGTGTGAATGTTTCAACTATTTTGATGCTAAATCCTGACTTTGAACTGCACCCTCTTTCAGGTCCACTGAAGTGCCTGGGACGTGGGGGTGTGTCCCCTTCTGCAGACTCTACTGCAAGTGCTGCATAAGGCTACAACAAACCATTTTGATACAGTAGCAGCCTCAACCAATAATATGTATTTGTGGGTTAAATGAAGGTCTCAAAGCCCTTAGAAATGTTTGTGCTGGGATTGTACCTTCAAATGGATTTGAAGATGACTTCACAAAACTAACTTCAGTTACAATAACAAAAGCCACTTACTATTGTAACTTCATTAATAACACTAATGATTTGGCAATTGCATCATCAAAAAACTTTTTTTCAACTGTTTACCAGGGAAAATAGAGAATAAGGGTAGATCAAAAATTAAAACACTGGAAAAAAACCCCTTTTACTACTGTAATTTCTATATGGATGGGTTGTTATAACCCCTCCTCAATACTGTAAGACAGTAACTGAATCCAGTACTTTAAGCTACAGCATAATTTAAGAGGTACTTCTGGTATTTGACACTGGACCCAAGTCTGATGTCTGCATATAAAGCAGGCATAGACTTTTTTGAAATATTTTACACTTCTCATCTACAAGAACACACCTCACAGTCTTAAAAATGTGGACCTTGTCAAGCACAGCCAGAGCATTCAATGTATTATTTTAATAATGAAAACCCAAAGTACGAGAAAGCATGCTGTTGTGGGAAAAGAATAAATCATTTACATGAAAGGATAACAAACAGCGAACACAAGGATAACACAGTCCTGGAAGGAAGATGAAGGTGAAAAGTCCATGAAATTGCTTAGATGCTTTCTAGACATAAAATAATTATTTTAAAAAGTTCTAGTATCTGAAAATATTCTCAGCTTTATGAAGTCAGTAATGTATAAAATAACGCTCACCTTTGCTTTTCCAGAAAACTGTTATTCAGTTCAAGGGTTTACTAATGTTGCAGCATTTTAAGTTTAAAAAGCCAGAAAGGAAGCTAATGAAATTTGATACATTTTATTTTACTGATTGATATTCAATTAAGACTTCTTGCCTGTTATTCTGTGTAAACTTCAAGCTTTTACTTGGTGCCATTGGTAACTTCCAGCTATTACTGCAGCTTTTAGCATTTTCTATTATATAATATACTGCTCTGGGAATCTATGAATTTCTCACTTCCCCTTCTCATTCTTTGTAATAAAAAGCTAGAATTAAAAATCAGTGTACATAACAAAATGAATAATTAAAAGCAATGACCAATCAAAACAAATTCTTATATACAAAACCATCATTTTATCAAATAAATGTTTTAATACACAGAAATATAACATTACTCAGGATTGACCACCAGCAAGAGGTAAAAGTAGTAGTTATTATTGTTTGTGCAGTCACATGTGCTGAGATCTGAAAACTCTGCTTTCAAATTTAAACCATTTTCTGCATGCTGCAAGTACAAGTTGAAGCATTACCTAATAAGCATCATAATCAAAACTGACTTTCCTGTTTAAGGTGAGATTTCACAAGACTGAGCTACTAAGGATCACCGCCTTAGATACAGAAGAAAAATAAGAAAACACATGGAACTGGCAATACAGATATGATCCTGAATCTTTGAAGTCACTGAGAGAATTTTGACCTCATTTTCTCTAAAATTAGTTTTTAAGTAACAGGATTTAACTCCTCAAGAATTATTTAAATGCTTTTTACAGCAAGTTATCAGCTAGAAAACTGCTTTAAAAATATAACTTTTAATATTTTGATAAACTGTAAAGTGATACTCTGATGGAGAGGAACTACATAACTTAAGAGGCAGGTGGTATTACTTGTTACATAAACCATATTTGAGAACAGGTATCTTGAACTTTTCAGAACAGGAAGCCAAGCCTAAGGCAGAATTGCCAGTGTTCCAGAGAAAACTAGAATTTTCAGTAAAACAAACTTCAGACAAGGGATACTAAACCTAGAATATAAATAGTTTTGAAATGAGACTCAGCTACATTTTATCATGCAAAAAGACAAGAGAAAACTGAAAATCAAAACTAAATATAGCTCATCATAGGAATTTCAGTGCGTGAATTTTTCAAAACTGCAGTTGTCTTTCATCACTAGACTTTTAGCACTAGAGGGCACTAATATCCCAGCTAGATCCAAGCAACTTAAGCTACTAAGCTACTCAACAGATAATTCTAACTGTAACATACTTTGCAAAGTCCAAATAAGATATATGTCCATGGTAAAATCCTGGTTTCATTTCCTTCCAGGAAGTCACATTCTTCACAAATCGGACCTGTAAAAGTAGACAGCAGAGTTTCAGTACAGCTGGAACACATTAAGTTTCCCCATACATGGTGTTTTCTGGTTTGTAAGCAAAATCTTATAAATGCATTAGAAAAAAGTCTATTTTGACTATTACCAAAGAATTTGTGCCAGCTAAAATAGACTTTTCTGCAAGCAAACAGATAACTCATTTTAGATAATCACAATTTAATGATCAGAAACTAAACAAAAGCAAAATACAGTAATCAGAAGGGCAATTCAAGGAAAGCTACCACAAAAAATTAGGAAGACAAACATTTACATTTTTGTCAGTCCCTTTTATTTGTAATGTAAAAGGAATGTGGAATTCCCTCAGCAATAAGTAAAAATGCTTTGATGGAACTGTCTCATCTGTATTTAGTCCCTCAAATGAAAGTGTACCAGTAAAAGCATGTTCTTAGACCTATTTTACTGGGACATAAGAAACAAATCTGGTGGTTCATTTGCTGCCCCATCCCAAAATGCAATACATTTACAATGAGTAATCCAGAAATTTTATAAATGTATACACTGTAAATTAAATCTATAGTCTACCATTTTGAATAGTTACCTTAAACATAATATTTCAGTGAAACTCCCATGTTAAAGCATGAAGTAGCCCTTAAACAAGGGCTGATAAAGCAGCTGTTGGCAAATTTCACAAAAATAGGAATAGCTTTACATTTCAAAGATCAAAATAAGATACACACCCCAAACCAGAAAGTATGATCAAATTAAGTGGGACATGCAAATCCTGATATAGCTTGACTTTTAGATGAACAGAATATTTAACATCAAAGCATTTAACTCTGAAAGTTATTTCAAATTACTGAATTGGATAATAAAGAAAATATTGACAAATTTTTACTGCCTGAGCTGTCTGACAACAATATGCTGTTTCTGAAGCTGAGAATTAGAAGACAGCATTTCCTGCACATCTACAATATCTTTTCTGTTATACAGTGACATAGATAACCATGAAGATAAGGAGGTGAGACAAGAGACTCAAAAAAAGTAAAGTTTGAGACCTTAAGACAACAGACTAATATTCTCTAAGGTCTGATGGATTGAGAGCATCCTGAAACATGATATTTATTATTTACTAAAATCCTGAATGGATTTGCCTCAAAGAGGCATGACTGGCCTGCTGCTGTTTCTTCAAATGTGCAAAACTTGCAGTCAAGAGGTTGATAACTTTTATTTATTTCTTCAAACACTGTCTCTTGGGCTTTCAGATAAAAGAAATGCATATTACTTTTAAATAGCAGGCAGCATTCATTTTTTCAGCTTATAAGTTTCATAGTCTGTGGCATTTCACAATTTAAACCATATACTTCACATAAAAATTGTGGCAAATCTAGCTGAAAAGCACTGTACAATGTTACACAATGATGTTTCATAAAATGCACTGGCTTTCTGTCTGGTTTTGTCCACAGCACAAACTGATAGAACTCCACTAGAAAACCAGTTATGCTGCCTATTGTGTGTAGTGCAGCATGCATATTAAGGTGTACATTTCAGTTATGTTTCCATGAACAACCCTTCTGAGGTATAGCACCAGCCAGACTTCAGTTTCTAATAGTCTAGGACTAGACACATGGAAATGTTAAGTGCAAAATCCCAAGGGTCAGTTCTGTCTTAGATCCCCATGCCACCATCTGGCATCAAACTTCAGATGTTCCAGTAATAGTTAAAAAAAATCCTTTATTGACTTTGTCTTACAATGTCATTGCCTGATAAGGAACTAATTTTCATGAACACAGGATTGATGCTCTAGCCTTTTATTAACTTTAACATCAGGCAAGCTAAGAGAAAGCTAGGAAGGTTTTATAAGACAGCTGTGACATTTACATCTGCCTTAAGATGAACCAGCAACAGCTGTGACCCTGAGAACTTAAGTTTTTAACACCTATAACTAGCTTGCAGGCAAGAGATTATTCCCCACCCCCCAATCTTTGCAGCATTCCAAAGACCATAATTGTTCCAGGTCACAGACAGCCCAATGAGTCTGGATTCACACATTTTAGGGCAGAGATGAATATTGCTTGCTGCTTCATACTGTTAAATGTGATCAATTTTATCTTTCTTTTCAGGGCTTAGCAGGTACTGGAGCTTTCAAGAGACCAAGCAAGCTTCTCCATCTGAACCCAACTGAATAAAATTTGAGGTTACTTTAAAAGTTCAGATAGATGTGAATGGAATTCCTGTGAAGTTGTTTCATGGTGCTTTTATATAATCAGCTACAAAGTTGCTTCACAGCCTTTAGTAAGTGAGAAATCAGCTGAGCTTCACTGAATTAAAAAGACAGATCAAACATACTCTGGGGGCGTAAGATGTCCTGAAAGGTAAGTTAAATACATTCAGTTTCTAGGACGATAAGAATTTAAAACAAGTCCTGGTGAGCCAAAAGGGAAAAAACCCAAACCCAGCATACTTGGCCTGAGCAAAAAGCCCTAGGAAATCTGTGTGTGCAAACCAAAGTGATGTTGTAAACTGTCATCTCTGTCCACTAACTGCTTCCATCAATCCCTCTTCTCTACAGTCTGAACACACACATACACACCCTCTGCCCCCAAAGGTGGTATGGCCATTACCCTGTGGCCTGGTATCACATGGACTTTTGGTTACTAAAGAAACCCCAGCTTTTCACATTGTTATATTCTAGTTTTGTTGGTCAGTTGCTGAATAACAGACTTAAAATTACAAATAACTGGGGGATGAATATCACAAGCCCATCCTGGAAAGGATAGATGAGGATTTTCCATTTGAACTACAAAAAAAAAGGGCTCTCAAGTAAGACTGAAGACCAACACAGTGCCCCCATTAAAGGAAATCTCAGATTCAGATTTAAAGACCAAGCATGATGGGATGACTGTATCAGAATCCCTCTGCAGGAAGGCACTGGTAGCTTAGTTACCTAAATTGTCATACGCGCTAATAGCTTACAGTAACACTAAACCAGAGGGTCAGGAATGCTGGAAACAGGTTAACAGCATACCATTGGCTGCATGCAATGAGAAACCACAAGCAAGCTCAAGGCAAGGGATGTCGAGAAGAAATTTTGTGAGATGGTGAAAAGACAAGAATTCACCAGTTCAGCCACAGCACAGCCAGGATACCTGCCTTACCTGAACAATTCTTTTTCAGAAGGAAAAATACAACTGGCACATTTATAGCAGTGGACACTAGTACTCGCTAGGCCATCTAACTCCAAGAGAAAAATTCTTAAATGTTCTGGAGCTTATGACAGTACTTCCACTTCTAAAAGAGTCGCTGCAACTTGTTCCACTTCTGAAAGCCATTGAAACCTTCACCAGCAAAGGAAATAAGTACTACTAAAATCAGTATGAGTGTGCTATCCTCTAAGAGGCCACTGTTTTAGAATACATTCGGAAGCAAGATTATGTATCTTCGAGTTGTTCTTTTGAGAAAAATGGAGAGAGAAACCACGTGAGAAAAAAGAACAAGGAACAGAAAACAGCAAGCTGAGGGAGTGAAATGCTGGATAATTGTACCATGGCTTTTCTATGTTCACAAAAACAGCACAGAGAACATGTTCTCATACCTCCTTTTCTAGTAATATCTCAAGAATACATGCTGCAAGACAGAACAGGAATTTTGTTTTATGTGTTTTAAAAGACAATTTTACCATGTAACAAAAAAGCTGAGGTTTGTGTGGCTGGTGGCCATCCAACTAGCCATAATACAAGCACACTTGTATGGACAAAGTATCAGTACCAAAACATGAAAGTAACAAAATCCAACCTACCAACTACTCTGATTTAATGAAATCAAGTGGTTTGTTACAGACCACACAGGTCAGAAATGCAACATGGCACTCAGCTTGCTGAAAAAAAAAAAAAAAGGCCCAACCTGTGGAAAGAGGGGCAGTTCCCAGGATCCTGCTGTCAGACAAGCTGCAAAAGAAAGAAGGGCTGCTGGGACAATTTCCATCTGAAACTAAAATGCATGTGTTTGGGACTCTTATCAGATTATCTCAAACCAGATACAGATTACATTTGGAGTGGATTTTAAATGTTTGGTTTTTTTTTTCAGATTGCATTCAAGAAGTAAAGGTTTCACATATGGGCAGAGAACTTAATATCTGTTACAGAATTAGAGCAGTTCGGAAAAAGTACAGCAGAAGTAGTGCATAACAGAGGGCTTACTATTTTACAAATTTATCTCAGGCCCAAGACAATCTTCACCTTGCTTAAGGAGATTTGCTTTAACAAACAGTATCACTGATAAAACCATTTTGTCTCTATATGTGTTTATGTATTTTACTACTAGTGCATATACACCTACTACACTCAAGTAAGCTATACTGATGAAGGTGGCATGTGAATATTTCATGCAAATCCAAGCCCACAAAGAGTAAAACCCCATCAGCTACTACTCAGTACCCTTGCCATCTTCAGAATTGTGTTATGACTTACAATAGCAAGTTGCTATCTCAATAATACTAAAGATAAATAATTATTTCTTCTTCTTTGAACAACTACACAATATAGAGAGTTTTTCTTTGACAGTATCTCCTAGTTAATGACCACTGAAGAAAAGGAGTATCACTTGTCTAATTAAACAACATAATTTCCCACCTTGGACAATAGCGTGGTATCAAAAGAAAGTAGGACTGCCAGTACGGTATACATGCCCAGCATTGATGAGATTTTATTTTTCAGTAGGTAATTATTAGAGTGAAGATGCGGAGGAGAGTTTCTCTTAGACAAAACTAAGCCAGTAAATCATAAATTTGATTTGTGTGAAATTCAAACAAAAGTAGAATTTTAAGGCAAGGTTGCCTATGTATAATTTATACCATCAATCACTAGCTCCTCTATCTTTCAGGACAGACCACTACAATTCAAAGAGACACCTTGACAGAAACAGATTCTGTGGCTGGAAGTGCAGCACTAACTACGGCTGAGTTGAGTATGATTTTTCATGAACAGATATAAGCTTGTTAAATCTTCTGAAAAATCACTCTTCCGTTGGTGCACAGGTCTTTGGCACTTGTCCTGTGTGGTGGACAGGACTATAGGGATGGCTACCAGACTTAGTCTAAGTAATTTCAGTAATCATGTATGACAATATCACCTTCGTATTTAGGAAAATATTTCACAACAGCAAAAACCCAACAGTAGCACAACCCTGCTATCACAAAACAGGTTCCCAGTCACCCCCGAAGTACACTCTGTCTCCTGTGCTGAGATCCCTACCTCAGTCTTTCTCCCACATACAGAACTGAAAGTGGAAAGCCCATTACCATCTGCTTCCCCTCGCCCTATGCCAGCAGCTGGGCTGAGCTGTTTCTGCCTGTAGACATGCACTTAAAGCCTCAGTGCTGACATGCTGCAATGCAGAACAGCTCCTGTCTCTGCTGCATATCAACTTGAGATGATCAGTGTACAACCGGTAGTATGTACCCAAGAGTTTGGGAAAATTTGTTTTACAGACAGGGAAGATAAGAATAGTGATGTTTCAGACCTCTGACCTGAGTTCCCTGAATGTGCACTCATGATGAGCAAAGAAACTTTATTTCAAAAAAATCTACTCCCACACCACACCCCAGTAAAAACAGAGCAATGATCCTTCATCATCTTTTTTAAACACTCATCTGATGCAGTGGTAGCCATGATCATTTCTAACCTGGGACTACACTGATTTTAGTGAGAGCTTTAAGTGGATGCAAAGTGATTCATCCTTTAAAGTGCAAGCTATTTAAAACCACTTCTTTCTACCTGTTTTTTTATCACCTGTGAGACCTGACCAGACCTCCTACCAAAGACTGAAGTATAGCCCTGACAGCATGGCACAGTGCCTATACTACTCAGAGAGGAAATCACATAAGACTGCATTCACTGCAGACAGAGATGACAGGCAAATATTATTACACAGTCAAAAGCCAGACAGTTGACAATAAACTTTTACAGTTATAACAACAAAGACAATTTCTGCCCTAGCTGTGTCCCTTTTTAGCTTTGTTTTTGTCCGATAAACAGATACTTATCACCTCCAGTAGCCCAGCAAAACCCAAACCTATCATTTAATAATTAATATTAATTCTCTACAAAGAAAATATAAACACATTCGAATTAATTTATATTGGAAAATGTGACATAAAAGCCAATTCCATCAGACCATATAAGTTTGCAACAGCAAAAAAGTTTTCTATACTTTCACCTTGTTTAATAAAGACATCCCAAATGCAGCAGCTTACCTGATCTTGCAGAGACATGACAGGATTATTTTTGGTTGTATTGATATGTAGAACATGGTATTTGTTCTTTGCACAAAGATCATAAGCAATATTTGTGAAGGATGTGCTGGCAGTCTTAGGTACTCTGTTGTAAATAATCACCACATCATCTTCTTCATCCAGTGTCACATCTTGTCGGGGGCCATCTACTGTATGTCGCTGTTCTATTTCTCGGACTTCATGTCTTGCAATAGCCCTTTCTGTTAAGGATAACAAATACAAGATTTCAATGTAAATATCACCAATTTTGAAGTTCAAAGCATAGAATGCAAATAACCTTGTAAAAAGCAGTAACGCCTCAGCAATACAGGAAACACTTGTTATATACATTTCTGACACATCTGAAGCAAAACTTAATCTATAAAATGTATGAATGATAAAAGGTGAGTTAGTCTGACACAGAACACCAAAACTAGAAAACAATATGCTTAGAGTGTAAAGCAAAACTTTTATAGTAACATGGGAACACACACCATACTCTATGACTCACACTAATGCTCTGAAAGCCATTGTCTCTGAAGAAAAATGTCTATAATGCGCTATCAAAATGGTGACATCCTCAAAATTCCCCAAATAATTTCTATAAAACAACTATTTAAAAATCATTATAGAAGGAATAATTCAAGTAATTTGAAGAATACTAACTTTCTGGAAACCGTAATTAGTCAATTAACTGGGTAGAGGCCATGGAATCCAGGTGAAACCATTGTTTTGTTATTTCAATTGATACAAGCCCCAAGTGTAAAGCATTACAATAAACGGATTTGCAAAAATTCAATTAGATCTATTAATTTCAAGTTTGACAAGAACAGAAGCAAGAGGTGCTTACGAAGCAGTTAACATTAAGGTGAAAAGTGACTTCTGAGTATTGAAATACATCAAAAAGAAAGAAACATGGAAAAAGCAAGCTACGAACAAGACATTTTGGCAAGGTGAGTACATTTCAAATAAACCATTTTTCCTTTTATACAAAGGGCAATACGTTGAGTAATTGAACTCTGCTCTAAGTGCTAAAAGCCCGTTTGGAAAATAAACCCCACGGTATTACAGCATTTTTTTTTTTTTCTGCTGCTGGATATCACATACTTTGTGCTGATTCAGGCATAGCTTTGTTCTGTTCTAGATAAGTATATACTTTAATATGATTTGTAATACAGATGTAAAAGCATCTTTTTCGATTCATTTATTGTGATATTGCCTTAATTATATATTCAGAGAAATTTGTGTTGGCCAACAGTGCAAGCTGAAGTTAGTACCACAAGAGTAACCTGTAATTCTCTGTACTATGTTCTTATACAGGGTATAGCTCTTCCTGGACGACACGCTTTTAACAGCAGCAGCTCTCAGCCTTTACTTCCCTTGCTTCCTGTAACCCAGCTGCTCCTATTCTCTTTCACCACATCTCTTTAATTATAACATAAAATAACTTTTAAAGCAGAATCATTAAGCTGTGAACACCACTAGCCTGTAATTCCACATAAATTGTCTTCAACCACAAACTTCCATCTGTCTGAAATGCTTCAAAGCTTAAACTCACTCACTCTCTCATATGCTCGTATCTCACACCCCATAACTAAGTTACATCAGTATGAAAATGTTTGCAGAAAATGCTTATTGAGTATATCTCAATTTTCCACATGACATCTGTTGCTCCCCACTACATCAGTCACAGTTTTTGCTCCTTCCCTTCTCATTTGCTACCTCTCCCATCACTGCTGGCAAACGTCCTACTTTGGAAAGAGATGAGGCAACAGACTCAGGTTTCATCTATCTGAAGATGGCTACAACAAAAAACGATGGCAATCCTCCCCTTCCTGCCAGTAACAGATTAGAGGAAGCATTTGGTAGGGGACATAGTTAACCACATGGCTGCCCAAGTCTACATGGATCCTGATTATCACCTAGAGCAGGTGAAATTAAACAAATTTAAACTGTATTTTCTATAAATGAGTAGTAGATCTCAGCTAAATTTGAATCATAACATCACAGAACTCCGGGGCTGATGAGGCTGGCTGGTGCTGAGGGAAGCTTCCCCTTTTACATGTAAGAAGTAAACATTTGCGAGAAACAGACGTGATTTGCAAAAGGAGTGATGAGAAGTGTTCCTCTAATAAGGTATTTGAAACCATGATGATTCAAGAATTGGAGTGATAAGTGCACTTTAAAGGCTATGCATAAGATATAAAAGATGTATGATTAGATACAACTAGCAGAAGGCTATTGTATGCAGTCACCTCCAACTTTTATGGTGAGAGGGGAAAGCAAGAACCTATGCAAGGAGAACCTTCACAAGTGTGAAGTACACAGATAGTTCTATTATCAAAGAATAAGGAAGTTTTAAATTTCAAATTAATATGACAACTAATCTTTATGATGAACTGAAATAACCTTTTTGAAATAACTGCAATAGTTAAAAACCAAAAGCTGAGATGAAGTGCAGGATATAAACTGCTGAAGTGCAAGGGAAGCTAAAGCAAATGAGAAGATAAAGCACCTGAAAGTGTCTAACTTGGTCAGCCATCCTAATGGCCTTTTGTAGTCTTGTAGTCTATTAATAACACAACAAGGAACATTGCAAGTTTTGTAGAAGTACACATTTTTTCCCAGTCATGGCAAAGTCTCAGCTTGCAGGTTTTCCTGTCATGTCAGGAAGCTTTTTAGTTACTTCCTGAATAGTCAGTTTAGCTCTTAAAATGGCATGTGACTTGATCCATATGAATCTTATTTATCTGGGGAGAGGGAAGACATCCAATAATGGTCACATACAACTGAGAATAGTCTTTGGGAATAACTAGTTAATCAGGAGTTAGAGAATCTGAGCAGTTGATGGGCATTTGATTAACTACTCCATTTGCTCCTCTAAAAAATTTAAATAATCTTGGAAGTAAAAGTCCTGTAATGGTTGAAAAATGAACATTGTTTTTATGTTTTTAGAAGTACAACAGAAAATTTAATGTATGCTTGAATGACTTTTTACATGTGTAAGATAGGGAGAAAGAAGATGCTATGTATTTATTTATATTTCATTTACCAAAAAATATCAGCCCTGCAGATTTAAATTTGATTATGAGAACTTGTCTACATAAGCTTGGATTGGTTTCACTGTAATAAATCCAAAAAAATAATCAGGTTAGGTCATTTTTTTCCTATCAGAGATCCTGTGGACAAAATGATGTCCTACAGTTTCATTGCTCATTGCTTTCATTGCATTCTACTTAAACTTCATTTTGTAAGAAAAACATCTAGGAAAAATTATCAAGAGCCAAGTGTCTAAACTCGGTTAAGAGTGTCCACACAGAGTTTGATGCTTATTAACCACATCAATTTAAAAAGATAAGCAGCATTTAAGCAAGTGATACTTTGAATACCAGACAGACTTTCATAATAATATAATACAGGGTAATTTTAAGGCATAAAATATTCTGTCTCACTTTTTATTACTGCCTGTTTAGGTTCACTGTAGTAAGTAATATAATTACTGTACAGTTGGGAAAAATGCTGTTCTGTCATCTGCAGTCATCCTACATGTAAACTTTCAGCAACTGCAAGGACTGTTTGCACACAGGCAGTACATATATGATCACCCTAATAAAGGTTGCTACACTGGTTATTACCAGCAGATGAATTACTCCCAGAACATCTTCAGTTGCCAGAAGTAGTTGGTTTGTGAACAACAGAACAAGTTTATTTTCTCACCAATTTGTCCACACTTTCTTCAAAATCATCCATTATTCAATTTCATAACTGTCAGCATCTTCCCATGACTTATATTTCTTGAGCCATTCTCTTGTGTAATAAACCAGGAAATATCATGGCTAGCAACAAGTGGGTTTGTCAGTCAGATGTTACCAGAAAATAACGTATAATTGCCAAGTTATGTCTTCTCCTTCAGCAGAAGCACTAATAACAACATTCAATCTGTATGCCACCACTGATTCTGGAAAAATTAAAAATTATCCATTTTCAAGATTGCTGTCCTTTCAAGTCAAAGCAGTTTGTTTTCCTGTTTAACAGCTGTTAAACAGGAAAAGTAACACTTGGAGAGGAATGGACAGAGTTTGATTGCTTAGCCCTATTTTGTTAGGATCTCAACTCATAAAATCACCTATGGAAATGTACCAGACCCATACACACCTATATTAAAAAAAATATTTGAAAACCCAACTGAACAATAGTTACATAATTACAGAAACAAATCACTGTGATCATAAGCAGTTATTTGCCTACATTCCTTGCACATTCAAACAGATTAATGTCTTCAGTAAAACAAGTTTATTAGCATTTAATTCAAATCCAACTGTTAACTGCATACAAAATATTATCTTCCCAAACAAAAAAGAATGGCATGGATTTTAACAGCTTAAAGGTTAACAAAACCCCAAACATTTCAAATTCCTCACATTCTTCACAAAAGCAAAAGAACCTCCTAGGATTTCTTAACAAGAAAATCTATCAGAACCAAACTCTTCTTTCCCCTATAGCTTAGCACTTACCACTCTTGATGAAGGATACATTTTGAGCCTCACTGGCTGTCAAAGTCAAGTTAACGAAGTATCTGGAAGAATAATTCAGAGCATAATGCTCTACTTCCCCAAACTATGCTCCTTGTCCTCTATGTCTATTTTCCTTCTGAATGTATCTATGGATATTATTTAGGCTCTCTCCTCAATGTCTTATGCGCCTGCCATGCTTCCTTGTGAAACCTCCCACTCAGATGAAAAAAGGCTCAGTCTTAAAATAAATTTTAGCTCAGCAGCCTTCAAGTGTCGCCCAGCAGAAGAAAAAGCTGTGGATTCAAACTTCACTCACACTGGCTTGATGCAAAGGAACTGGACAGCTAGTATTGATAGCACCAGCCCTGAGCAAATAGTTGCTGTATATCTATGATACTGGATGGCACTTCAAACTAATAAGCAGGTTTCTTCCAGTTGGAACCAATATTGACGCCAACTGACTTGGTATCTCTGCTCTCTTTCCACTGTGCTCCCAGGCCAATTAGGCAAGCAGCTGGTAGCCTAAGGCACTGAGCAGCTCTCAAGCTGTTTTGCTGCCCAAAAGCTGCATTTAAACACGATTGGCCTAAATACTGAACCCGAGAAAGACCGAAAAATCTACTCACTATTGACTCTTCTCCTCTGATGAAGAGCAAAAACTGAAGAGCAGCCTAAAAATGAACGATAATTATGTGGGAAAGTTAATG